CAATCACCAGCCAGGATGAGGTCTGATGTGATCCTCCTTATCCCATGTGCTGTAAATTCTCAATTCTATGGTATCACCTGCATTTGCATATTGGTGCCTTCTTAAAGTCCAATAACTTCACATTGGTGTCCTGGTGTGACACTGTATGATAAGCACTGTACTGCTAACCATAAGGTTGGTGGTTCAAACCCACTATCACTCCCCAGAAGCCCTATACAGGGTCACCCACTATGGGTCAGAACTGGCTCGAAAGCACTCAACAACAATGATGCTGATGAGGCCAGGATTAGGCTGTATCTTGGGTAAATCTCTTTGGAGATATGAAAAAGATTAAACAAGCAAGCAGAGCTCAGAGGAACCTACTACCAACAAGAAAGAAGGGCCAGGAATGGAGTATGTTCTTTGGATGTGGGCCCTGAACTGTGAAGCTCTGAGATCCAGGAAGTTTGATGCCGAGATGTATGGGAGCTCCAAGAGATGCTGAAAGGAGACAAGGACATTTCTCCACAGCCAGGACTCTGAACTTGGACTTCTAGCCTCCTAAACTGTGACAGAATAAATCTGCTTGTTGAAGGCCTCCACTTGTGGTATTTCTGTACATCAGCCCTAGAGGAGTAAGACAAGGATCGTGGGCACAGATGGGAAAGATTTGCCTTAAGTGGGTCTGTTCTCTATCGCCATTCTGCAGACTAATGGGTGCGCTCCGCTCCGGGTACAATGATGCTGAAAGTGAAATTCACTAATGCAGAACTCATGTGGGTGTTGACTAACTTCTCCAGGGACCTCCGAGAACCTAACTGGGTGGCTGCCTGTCAGCAGACACAATGCACCTGTGGTCTCAGCCAAAGGGGGACTGGCCAGCCAGCCAGCAGAGGGCTAATGACTAGGGGGCTGAGGAGGGCTGCTGGTTCCTGACATCATGGAGGCTGGTACAAATATCTCAGCTCTGTGCTGGTCATGTGACTGGAAGTTCAAGTGCCCACTCTCATACTCATATCATGAAATTGCCTGCAGGTCCTGGGCATGGCTGTGAGTCAGCCTGTACCCACTGAGCCCAGCTCTGCCTCTCACCCTCTGTGATTGCATCAGGTAAGTCACTTAATCTCTCTGTTCCTCACCTATAAATGGGAACGCTGGCCTGGAGCTGCGGGCAGAAGGAGAATTGCCACAGAGATGGCCTGGGTGTATGAGGAAAGCTTGCCCATGGGATAATTACGTTCCTAGAACAGGCCCCCAGACAGATGGACCGTGGACCTGGACTGGAGCTCTTGGGAAGATGCAGCCAGACAGAAGAGGAGAGAGTCTGGGCTAAATGAAAAGGGGCTGAAGAACGGCAGACCCCACAGCGGAACCCAGTGTCTGAGTCAAAGGGAGCCTCACACTCTAGAGAAAGCACAGGCTGCTTGGAGGCCTGATGAAGCTCTTTCTCAGGTAGGCATGAGGAGGCACAGGGCACATCTGCCCTAAACAAACACCCACGCCCACACATACCTGTGCACACCACACCCAAATCACTCTCGTCCTCGGCTCTGTTACTACTCCAGGCTGCCTGGCTTCAATTCGGGAATTCCAAGCCTCTTCTTCTCCCTCATCCCCTGGGGAGTTTGCAGGAGGAGAGACCAAGGAATCTCAACTCACATCAGTGAGATACCGTCACAGTAAAGGTGCGAACTGTAACCTGAAGTCTCGTGAGGACACCAGTCACAGGCTTTTGACCTGTCTCACTCTAGTGGCCACTTCCTTAAGCCTAGGCACTCAGTGTGCGGCCTAGCACTTGCCACAGGGCAGGGACTTCCTGACTGTCTGCTGAGAGGAGTCAGGACATGAGTGAATGAGTAAAGGCCAGTATTTGCTTGTTGTACAGTATCCGCTGCTGCTATCGCCTGCCTGGCCCAACTCCAATGCCATCCTGTCTTCTCAATCCCTGAAAGGCAGGCATTTGCAAGGTCAGGGTGGCTGGGGCGCGGAATAAGAGCGGTACTCTGGGCCCTCACTGCCTGCCTGGGCCAATGCCTGAATTTGCCCTGCTGGTCCTCGGGCCTGTCCTGTAAGACAGGCAGTTCTGGGGTAAGAGCAGCAGAAAGCTGCCACCCCCAACTCCCTGAATGCGGCCTTACGTGATGGGGGCAGCCAAGGGAAGGAGAAGGGGGACTTACGATTCCATTCTGCACGCTGAAGCCCAGCTGGTACTTGAGGTCCGGACGCTTGATGAGCACGGTGGTAACTGGAGGGCAGCTGACTATGTTGAGCTTCACCTGAGTCTGGTTCTTCAGGCCCTGCGGAGTACGGGCAGACCACAGTGTCACAATGCAACCTCATACGTCCAGGAGCACCGATGGAGGACGGCGCTGGACCTGGGGCCACTGGGCTAGTCTCAGACCCACCTTGACCCTTTCAGGGAGTGTTAGCAAGGCAGCCACCACTGAGCCTCAGTCTCTCCTCTGCATCAGGGTTCACCCGACCTCACCGCCTGCTGCTACTTATCAAGGATGCAGTGAGCACGTGACCCCTCCCTGCACTGGGTGCCCTTGGACCTGGGCTGACACCTACTGCCTCCTGCCAGAAGCCAGACATCACCATCACCCACAGGTGCACCCATAGGAGCAGCCTTGTCACACTCAACTATAGGAGAAGTTCCTACTGAGAACCTGGCCGCCCTTCTCAAAGCAGAACGACTCTCAGTGATGGACTTGCTGTGCTAATGAGGGAGAGATGCATTCAGTGAAGACCAGGAGTAGGAGGCAGGGACCCCTGGGCATGTGGGCCTCGGGTGGGTGTGCTGAGACAGCACCAACCTGGAGCCAAGGGTGGCCTCTGACATCAGAGGATACAACTGACAACTGGCCACAGAGGGAAGTCCAGGAGTTAAGCCTGGCACATGGGGAGAGAGTCCCAGGTGCAGCGCCACCTGCTGGATGGGAGCTTCCTCAGGTATGCATGGATCACTAAGCTGCAGACTTAGCCTCAGCGTTGCCCTTCATTTCTCACTCTGGGCCAGGGAGGAGACAAGCACTTTCTCTAGCAGGAAGGCTCTCAATGGGCGGGAATGATACCGAGAGAGGGGTACTGCTGGGTCAGCCCGTTTGTCTACTGGGCCCAGGGATGTTACAGAATGAGCTCTGTCACACCCTGCAGTGTCTGTTCTGATGACCCCTCCAGGGACAGTCAACTCAGCTCTTCCAAAGAGCCGTCTCTCATTTCCCTGCAGCATGGACTCGCCGGCAGGGAGGCCAGCGCACCTACTCCATCTGTCCATGGAATGAGACTTCAGTGTTTGACGGAAAGCAGCCCGTCCCAAAGGTCACCCGGCTCAGCACTAAACTGGGTGAAGCCAGACCTCCCCTTCCCACCCAGGGGGCTGGGTCCCTCGGATGCATACAGTCATCGGTCAGTCCCTGGTGACAGCGATGCGGTGAGAAGGAAAGAGGGCAGGTCTCTGGCACTCACCTTGATGATGCCCTGGCAGGTGGCGAGGGGCAGCCCCACCAGGCTGGTTCCATTGATGGACATGATCTGGTCCCCGATGCTCAGCTTCCCTGAGCGGGCGGCCGGGCCACCGTTCATCATGTTTGCCAGGATCACCGTGGGCAGGATGGAGCCCCAGCCCGACTCCACAACCACCACACCCAGGATCTCACTCTTGTGCTTCTCCAGCAGAAGCTACGAGAGAACCAGCATGAAGGGTACCGTGAGGGCCGGCGCCCCCAAGTCTGGGCCCTACTCCGCTATCTTGGCCAGGATGGTCTTGGGACCCAGAGGCCCACAGCCCACCACCCATCTCCTAAGCCCTCTGTCCCCACACCACCACCCACAGCATTGACTACCATCCCTAAGAGGCTTGGGTGTCCTGGCACCTGCCCCTCCGCCAGTGTCCAGGACAGCACACCAAGGACCCAGAGGATGATCTGGGACCTCCATGCCCAGCTTCCACTCCAGCCTTCGTCAGCATGTCACCCTTTGCACTTGTTTAGAAAATTCCTTTCGTTTCTCTCTGCCTCAGAAGGCTACAGCTCACAAGCTCATCCAGCAATAGTGAGGGCTGTTCATTCATTCACTACAAGTAGGGCCGCCATCGATTTGGTCAGTAAGCTGTCAACATCATTTGTTCATCTTTCAAGCTGTCAGGGTCGTTCATTTAACAAGCATTCAGAATCATTCTCTCGTTCGTTCATTCATTCATTCATTCATTCATTCATTCATTCAACAAGCAGTCAGGTCATCTCTCCCCTCCCCCTCTTTTCACTTTGAAAAGCACAACTTTCCAAAGGCCTTTGAGCAGAGCCTCTGGAATCTGTACAGGCGCCCTCTGCTAGCAACTTCGAAACAGAGCACCCAAGTTGCCTATCTTGAGGATGCCTCCCACAGCTTTTGAGAGAGCTCTCCTGGAGCAGGGTGCCAATGGGTGACAATAGCAATACTAACAGGCATTTCATCGCCGAGGTCATTAGATGGGCTGTGGCCAGTTCCTTTGCTCCGCCACCACCTGCAGTGCTCCAATGTGCATGCAGGAGTGAGGTTGCTGCCTTGGGCAGCTCCCTGGCTCACTAGGACAACAGCAATCTGGTACCCTGCAAGGCCAGTGAGATAGGCTGCTTGGGGTGTGTCCAGAGCTCCTAACTGAGGCTGCTTGGCTGGGAGGGCAGGGCAAGTTGAGTGTGGGTGGCTTACCTCTTTGCAGTTCTCCGAGTTAGAGAAGTGGATGAGGTCATCGTTGTACATTTCCTGGGTACTGATGATGTCACTGTATTCCTTCTGGCTCAGATCTTCAGGGTTGATACCGTTGGCCCGCAGGAACTCCTGGTAGGCCACACTGAAGGCCTGTCCGATGGACTGAGCAATGAGCTGGGCCTGTGGGGAGGGGGCAGGCTCTGCTTGGAGCAACACGAAAGCACAGACCCCCACGACCTCCCAGAGAATGCGGGGCCGTAGTTGGGTGGGTGCCCAGTATACACAGAGCGTCTCCGGGGGTCCAGGAAAGAAACTGCAGGCCCTAGTCTGATGAAAACTATCTCCCACAACACTGCTCATTGGGGTGCTGTAGGGGACACCATAGTAGGCTAAGCCTTTCTGCTTCCTGGGATTAGGCAGACCCTGACCCAGACTGCCCTACCCAAGCTGCTTTATGGCCTCACCTTCCAGGACAAAGCACACTTTCAAATAAAGTTTGTTAAATATCCTATTCTTGGAACTGCAGTTGGTAACTGCATTTTCTTGCTACCCATCTTATTCCGAACACAGGGCTCATGCATACTTCTTGGGGTATCCCACACACTGCCAGTGTCTACCCCGTATTTATTTCTCTGTAGTAACAAAATCCCAAGCCACTTGGGGAGATAGCATGTGTGTCCTGTCACTCTGGCAGGGTGTCTGTCCTGGGACACCTTCCTCCTCCTTCTTCCCTGAGCGTGGGGGGTCCCAGGAGCCACCTCCAGTCCAGAGGGACTTTGAGAATGAAACCACATGTTTAGGGTGCAAAGGATCAAGGGGGATGCCTAGGTCCCTTGTCAACAAATGCATCCCCAGATGGCTTCTAGAGGAGACTAGAACTGCTTTCTCATGTCTGTTGCTTTTCTTTATTTGGGGTCTCCCATAATGTGCCGCTAGAGCTAGGCCTAGTGAAAAGCTCAGTGACCGGCCCCTGGTCCCTGTCCTTTCTGGCCTTGCTAAATCCCATCTGCGCCATCACTGGGGCCGGTTTCATCACCTATAACACTGATGGGATGCCTTTCCTCTCACCTGAAATGGTAGCACACCTTTAAGTGTTGTCAGCAGGTAGACGTACTCAGGGATAATTAGTAATTTATATTTTTCTCTAGACAGAACCCTAGTTCTGGCACTACTGAGACCGCAGTGGGGTTGGGACATCTCCAGTACCCTCACTCATCCTCCCCCTCTTCCCTTGAGAAGGAATCCTAATGGTCCCTGGGGACTGTTGAGTCGGATTCTTCTGTGAAGATTGAAAATGCTTCTGCAATAGTCCAGCCCTTTGTCCAGTTACGGCGGCTCTTGGGTCATATTCCCCTGGGTCCAGGGAAAGCTACCAGTCCCTGGGCGGGCTGGATCTAGCTAGGTAGCCCTGAAAGGAGGTACAGTATGGCGGCTCCACTGTCTTTTGATGCTGGCTTGCTTGTTTAAGGAACCTGGACTGTCTTACAGGTGACTGTGTATAAATCAGATTCTGTAAAGCAAAGGGCAGCGCTCAGAAACAGGTTCACAACATGCCCACCGCCTAGTCAGAGGTCATGTGGAGGAACCCACGGCTGCCTCTTGTCAACTCAGCAGCCTTCTTCTGCTTCTTTCACAGCCCCTGCCCTTAGAGTTCCCCGCTGCTCCACAAAGCGCACTTCTAACTAGCTCTGTGTGAAATGAACTCCTTTGAGACCGCAGGGCCTCTGGCTGGTGATGCCACTGACAAACACTGCAGGCCAGACGGAAATGCAAACCTTGGGGAGAGGTCTCTGCAGGGTCCTGAATGAGAAGATCTGGGCCAAGAAGCCTGGGATATGCCACATTCTGAAGAGGGTTACTGGCTACCAGGACAGGTGAGCTAGTGCCTGCAGAGATGCCACACGGACCTTGGCTGGCAGCCTGCCCACTTCTTCATGGGACTCACAGTCTGTGACGGACAGGGGTTGGGAATATAGGCCAGGACAAGCACGCCAAAGTGATCCCCCCTCATCCTAAGAAATGGCTAGGGGCCAAAGAGAAACACAACTGGCCCTCTCTGATGGAACACTCAGGGTTAGAGTTCAGGATGCAGTTGATGATGCTCCAAGAACACCATGCACCTTAAGTGGTATAGACTGAGTTATGTTCCCCCCAAAAGATTATTGACATCCCAAACACTAGCACCTAGGAATGTGATCATGTCTGGAAACAGGGTCTTTATAAAGGGTCTTGGTTAACATGAGGCCATACTGGAATAGGATGAGTCCTAATCCAATCTGAGTGGTGTTCTTGCAAACAAAGACACACAGAGGAACAGGAAGGGAGAGGACGAACACTAAGGCATTGCAGCAATAAGCCAAGAAACACATGGGGCCACCTGAAGCTAGAAAGGCAAGAAAGGGTCTTTCCCTAGAGCTTTCAGAGGGGTCATGGCCTTGCCAACACATTGACTTGGACTCCCAGCCCCCACAACTATGAGGGAACACATTTTGTTCTTTTAAGCTCCCCCGTCACATGCCACATGAAGCTCACAGGCAGACCTATGGTGGCATTCTTTCCTTCCTCCTTCCTTTCTTCGTTTGGCCTACTTCCTTCATTCTTTCTCCCTTTTTCTCTCTCTCCTTTACTATTTCAAAAGAAACTGTCCAGTCTTCCCAAGGAGGATTAGGACGTGAGTCAGAATTGACTTAATGACAAACAATGTCAACAACAGGATGAGTGCTGGAATCTCAAAGGAAAGGCAGTCCAATATGACATCTGGTCATCTCCAGCAAAGGATGGCTTCCCTACCAGCTCTCCTAGAGTTGCCAGCATTTGGAAATGGGCAGTTTCTCCTTTTATTGTTGTTCGGACTCATGGCAAGCCCATATAGGGTTTCTGAGGGGTGACTGTTGGGTTTGAACAGTTGATCTTGTGGTTAGCACTCCAGTGTGTATCCGACAGCATCACACCAGGACTCCTTTCGTAAGACATCAAATTCAAGGCAGGCTATCTGGCATCCCTGCATCCACCCACTAAGCAGTACCCTTTAGGCATTGGGAAAATCAAAAATGTTCCTCCTGCTTCCAAATACTAAAGCTTGAGAAGCCCAATCTTAAAAGATGGTGAGCTGGCACAAGCTTGGTGCTGCCCTCAGATGCTCTGTGCACCTTAACCTTCTCAGGAAGGACCAGTGTAACCATGCCAATACAGGAAGTAAAGAGGATGGTCTCACCAGGCCGCTAGTGTCCTCCAATCTCAATGTAAACTAAGAAGTAGAGGTCACCAGTCACACAAGGAAAGCCAGCAGATAGAAAGCGAAGGGCGGAAAGAAACAGAACAGTGGCTCCCAGAAGCCACAGTAATTCAGGGAAGAGAAGAGAGCTTCCAATAAGCAAACACACAACCTTATCTGGTATCTTCAGAGAGCTGAACAAATATTGCATACGTAAAACAAGAACAAGATGCCACAAAAAAAGGAGCTTTTAGAAATAAAACACACTATGGTTGTTAGGTGCCATCGAGTTGGTTCCGACTCATAATGAACCAATGCACAATAGAATGAAACACTCACAACTGTTGCTATGCTTGAGCCCATTGCTGCTTTCTCTGTGCCAACCCATCTCATCGGGGATCTTCCTCTTTTTTGATGATCCTCCATTTTACAAAGCACAGTGGCTTTCTCTAAGAATTGGTTCCTCCTGATTACATGTCCAATGTCTGAGAGACATTGTCTCACTATTCTGCCTTGTAAGGAGCACTCTGGCTGTATTTCTTCCAACACAGACCTGTTTGTTCTTCTGGCAGTCCATGGTACTTTGAATATTCTTCTCTAACACCACAACTCAAATGCAGCAATTTTTCTGTGGTCTTCCTTATTCATTGTAGAACTTTCACATGCAAATGAGGTTACTGAAAATACCATGGCTTGGGTCAGGTACACCGTAGTCCTCAAACTTATCTTTGCTCTTCAACACTTTATACTTTTTTCTGTTTGCTCTTCTATCTTAGCAGTATTGAGAGATTTGTCTTCCAGCTCGCAAGCTGTGGCTTCCATCTCTTCAATTCTACTCCTTTGTCCTTTCAGTGCATTGTCCATTTCTGATATTTTATTATTAATCTTTTGGACCTCTTTTTGCAGGTTTTGAATTGCTTCCAATGCTATTTCTATCTTATTTGATTGTTCCTGTAGCTTTTTCCTGACTTCTTTCTTATTTTTCTCAACCCCTCTGTGGAGAATTTGGATGCACCTCAATATCAGTCTCCTGAATTCCTTCTTGGGCAGTTCCAAAGCCTGCTTTCCTTCCAATAGGAAGTCTAGGTCTACCTGCAGCTCGTTTGTTTGTTACTCTAACTTGTTTCTGGACATGTGTCGAGATCTTCAACTGTCTCTTGGGCATCTTCAATAATTACATGTGTTTTCAATTAGATGAATGTATGTTGATGTAGTATAAGCTTTCTGATTGCCTCCAGGGAGATGTGATCAGGAGATGGGCTTCCCTTTTCACTTTTCTTATTACTCAACTCAGAGTAATGGTAGCAGGTGTTGGTTGTGAGTCTGGTGTATAGCAGCTGATCTTGGCTCTTGCCTGGATGGTGGGATTTTATAGGTTGTGATTGTAGCTTGGCTATATGACCATAATTTCTGTCTCTTCTTGGGGAACATAGGGAGAGAAAGAGCGCCCCCCCGCCACCAAGGTAAAAGGGGAAACAAAAACTAAAACGACAACAGCAAACATAAGTAGATACATGCACACCCATAGTCATAGCAACCTTATTCACAATAATAAAAGACACAGGCCGCCTAAGTGCCCATCAATGGAAGCATGGATAAACAAACTGTGGTACAGACACACAATGGAGTACTATGTGACCTGGAAGAACAAGGAAGCTGCAAGCCACCACATAACAGATGAACCTTGAGGACACGATGCTGAGTGAAATTAGTCAGTCACAAAAAGGCAAATATTACATAAGACCATTATTGTATAAGCTTAAGAAAAGATACCCATACAAAGGGAGGGGGGAGGAAATCTCTGTTGGTTACCAGGGGCGGGGGGAAGATGAGAATAGAGCACAAGGGTAGGGGTAGACACATCATACATAGTTCAGTGTTGGGGAGGACAATACACAAGAAGGGGGAAAGGAATGAAAGAACAAGGTAGATAGGGAAACACTGTGGCACGTTTGCATGGGCTAAA